TATGCTGAGATGCATGTTGCAAAATGTTATTTTTGAATAAAATGTGATTTTTTTTTTAACAACTCATTTGTATTTCTTCATTTACTCTATTTCTGTATACTCAAGCAATCTTTCTCTGCAGAACCCTCTATGTACAGAGCATATCCCATAAAAGATGAAAGTGCTTTAGATTATGCTCAGCAGTGTGTAGTTGGGTGGTCACACAATCTAGTATTATGAATGAAGTGTGATATATTTGGTGCAAAAGTTTGCTTGAGTATNNNCTGTTATATTGCCCCTGCTGCTCTATAAGATTAAAACACGCCCATCGCACACATCCTAATGAAACCTTAATTACTTTGTTACGATAACCATCTCCAACAAAGCTGAATTCACCTGAACAGACAAAAAAGACAGACAGTTGCCTGTTCCTCCAAGCCAGATGGCAAAAATGAGCCACAGTGTTCCTCCAAAACAGCGTGATGATTACTATAATCTGGGGTGATGATTTCATTTCATCCCTGTGCTTTCCCCTCCATTAACAACGCAGTGTATGATCTTTCTGAGATTTTCTTTGTTTTTTGGCGGTTTCGTTCCAAACATCTAACAAAAGAGACAAAGTTGTTCTTCCAGTGCCAGCATGACAAGTTGGCTCTGCTGTGCAGTGTCCTCTCCCTGGAAAACTCAATCCAACACCATTGCTCTCAGTTTAAGTGTTTGCAAATTTAGCATCGAGCGAAAAAAAAGCATTTTTACAAACAGAGAAGCAGTGTCTGGAGCCCATCGGTTTTTAGTCAATTAGTTCATGTATGAGGTCAGAGCCCTCCACGTAGGCCCAGATGGCCAGTTATATATTTTGTACAAGTATTAAACTGAGCAAACCACCAATGAGGCTAGCTCAACTTCATTTATTTTTGGATTTATTCAGTTCAACAAATATCTTGTTCTTTTTTCTCAAGCGTGAATACTTGTGACAATACCAGGAGGTTGAATAAATGTTTATTAAGTTTAGCCATTTCTATTATGTTAAATCATTTACAGTATTACTTCCCGATAGCCATGGCTTCCCCTAGAGCAAAGTGGTACTGCTTCTGCCATGAAATGACGTGTGACATGACTCTAGCTATGTAAAGCGCGCTTTGAGGGGTCGAAAAAAGAACATAATAAAAGTGGCTAATATAAAGTACACGATCCGTTATTATTTATAAGATACTAAAGAAAACAACAAACAAACTACTATATATATAATCTGGTATATATGTCTATCCATCAGCTGCCCCCTGATCTCTAAGGCCATCAGCCATCAGAAAAAACCCTCAATCCAGTCAACTTATGCGCGCATTTCCCACTGCAGCGGGTAGCCCCGTTTAAAGCGTCCTTAATCGTCCAGGCCAGTTTTTGGTGGCCTTTCCATATAGCGTAGCACCGGCTAAGCGGGTACTTTTTCGCGGCCCCCATAAAATCGTGGTTCTATCAGGCCAGGGCCCAGGACTGAACTATTGACATCAACCACTCTCGACTGCTTGATTGGCTCAAGAGAGAATCATCCCTAGCGTCCGGGCATATATATCTAGAAGCAAGCTTGCAGCATTTTTTATACACAGCATTTTTTGTAAACGGAGGAACTACAAAAATGGCAAACTCAAAGAAAAGCACACCGTGGTCGACCGAGGAGGTGACGACGTTCCTACATCTCATTGGGGATGATAAAATCCAGCGGGAGCTCGACGGAACAACTCGAAATGTGAAAAAAAAATAATAAAGCCGATCCTCCCGCCTACACTGCGTTGCTACCCCAGGTCCTAAACTGTAATGGAAATGCGCCACGGCCTCGGACGGCCAGCGAGGCAGCCCGAGGCCTGAGCGAGGACGCTTAGGGACGCTTAAACGGGGCTACCCCGCTGCAGTGGAAATGTGCAATAACAGTCTGGGCCTAAAATTAATGAAATACCTTTTTTGGTTTTCAACACTTTGTTTCTAGTAATTTTCTTTTGGGATTTCCAACACAACTGACAATCAAAATGTATTCAGCTTTAACTTAATCTTCAAGGCCTTTCAGGACTTTCTCCACAACTGACACTTGTAATCCCAATATTAGTCATGGCATATTCAGTATCTGCCTATGTCTGTGATTTTTTTCTTTGCACTCTGCAGTGCACTCTTTAGTCTGTAAGAAAATATTATATACAGTAGCTTGCAACCTTTATCCTTCATTCCAGTGATCGAGTGCTCGTCATTGTTTTTGTTGTGTCAATGTTTCCCTGTTGTGGCTACATGGTTTGCACAGGACTTAAATGTGGGTAGAAACTTAGTTAACAACAAAACATTCTTTTTTTATATGCTTTGCTGGTGTAAAATAATGAATCAAGTGTTCGTTTAATTGCAGCGTACTGTTGGTTATTACTGTACTCTGTGTTCTTATCCAGAAAGGAATGGAGCGACATTGTTCAAAAAGGGAGGTGTCCAGATATAACAGAGTGTTGATGTGGGTGAAACCTGTTGTCGGGCATGGCTGGCTAGGTTTGGGCGAGATGCCAGAGAACAGCACCTGCCTGCAGTGTAGCTCACAGGAGGGTGGGTATAGACTGACAGAGGCGGAAAAACCATTAGATAACGTACATGTAAGAGTCATGTTTCTAACAAAACACCCAAAAATAATTGCATATAATCAGTAAATTCGTTTTTGAAAATGCATTTAGTCAAGTACTGAACAAATGTGTCATAAGTATACTCTACTTGAGTGTTTTATTGTATGCCACTATATACTCCACTGGTTCTTTTTACTCCTGTTTACCAGATTTCAAATCCCTGTACTTGAAGTTAAACTAAGCTTATTAATAATTGTCTCTCTATAAAATATAAATACCAGTTCTACAGCCTCTATTCTGAATTATCTTACATTAACCAATTGATCAAATTATTCCCTGGAAGAATATCCGTTTTTTCTTCTTGTTCCGTCATAGTTTATCAACCATCTCTGTGGGCAGCTGATAATCCGGTTCCAGGGCTAAAACAAATATCCTATTCCTTAGCATCTCATTATGTAACCTTATAATCCATCTGTAGGACAACATGCGCTGAAGTGGGCGGAGATAGTAGGAAAGGCCAGAGTGACAGACAGCACAAAGCTCTCATTGATGGGCCAGAGGGACGCAGAGACTTACATTAGACCATGTTTAGCTGTAATACACAACGTATGGCCGCGGGATAGATGCAGGCTGGGGCAGGGGACAGAACTTCAATACATTTAGGCACAAACTGCATTACTTCTATACTATAAAGTCAAATGACTTGTCACCCATTAACAAGGA